GACTGTGAGAGGGGGCAGGCCGGCCTGAGGGACCCCTCCCCCAGTACATGCATTTTTGTGCACTGGGCCTCTAGTATAAAATAATATTGAATATAAACTGTAATTGAAAAAATAAAAACTAAAAACATTTTTTAAAAGTTTATCATTATCAAAGTATAGAGAAATAAAAAATTGTTTTGATGTGAATACACTGTATGTAGGACAGGTTTTTCTGTGAGTAGACCATAACTAAATAACATTTGCTTGTCAGTGGACCTCCAGTATGCCAGGTTGGGCACTGAATGCAAAAAAAAGACAATTATATGAGCCTATATTTGACCTGAGAGTATCTTTTCAGAATTAGATTTGAACTTAAACTTTGTTAGATTTTTCTTACTGTGTTCCCACTTTCTGATTTTCCAAAAGTGAACTATATGTGAGTGAATTCAAGCTCTGCCTCTGAAAATTTTGGTAAATAATTACAGTTCCATACTTTCACAGAACTGCAGGGTTGGGTGTGCCTTCATATTACGTGCTTAAAGAGATCTAGGAGGTGGCCTCTGCCTTCTAGGTCTGCTGACACAAATTTTAAGACAAGAAGTTGTGGTTGAGGGTCTGGGAATAAAGAAGGATTATTTTTTCTTGGTTTATACCAATGTTGTGGTCTAAAGGAAGATTGCTTCCAAGGACACTCAGTAACCTTGAATAGGTCTTACATTTCCTGGCTGATGTATAGCTGCGATTACTTGTATTTAAATCTTCAAAAATGGTTTGGCCCTAACCGGTTTGGCTCAGTGGATAGAGCGTCAGCCTGCGGACTGAAGGGTCCCAGGTTCGATTCCCGTCAAAGGGCATGTACCTTGGTTGTGGGCACATACCCAGTAGGGAGTGTGCAGGAGGCAGCTGATCGATGTTTCTCTCTCATCGATGTTTCTAACGCTTTATCCCTCTCCCTTCCTTTCTGTAAAAAATCAATAAAATATATTTTTAAAAAATGGTTTGAAATGGCTATAGGAATCTCTCTCTCCTCTCTCTCTCTCTCTCTCTCTCTCTCTCTCTCTCTCTCTCTCTCTCTCTCTCTCCCTCCCACCCCCAAATAAACACACTGAAGGAAAAGAAAATTTCTAGATTTCCATACTTAAAAAATAAGGGTGATTTGAACATGATAAATCATAGATGCCAAAAGTCAACATTAGTCATTAGAATTGACATGTTTTTCATTTTTAAATGTAACTTGTTATTTTTGAATACAGTTTGAAGAAGTATAAATTCATAGCCAACTGAGGCTTAAGAGCAAGTGTTATTTTGGCTATACCTCTGCCATATTAATCCCAGTCAGAGTGAACCAAAGGTTTGATTGAAAAAGCAGGTGAGAGATGGGAAGTATGTTTTAGAAAATAAAATGATATCTGTTTATCTCTATATTATAACAGAAAGCATTTTAAGTTATTTTAAAATATAAGATCCTTGATTGACATTTTTTTTGTATTATCAATGTCCTTATGTGGAAAATAGCTCTCCATTCCTACTTGGTAAACTTTCATTTTTTTAATGAACAAAGAACTCTATGTATGTGTTAGCTGAAATGAACTTAGATGAATTTTATTGATTAAAGGGTGAAAGTACAATCCTCAGCTGCAAAAATGCATCTCTGGAAGTCTGCTATTGGTACATTTCTCACTTTGAACTGCTTGTAGCAAAGTCAATGCCTATAATCAAGAAAAGGTTCCCCTTACCCCTTTAGTTCTTCCATCTGGTTGAATAATTGAAACCACTTACAGAAATTAACAAGAGACAATCAACATTTTAATAAGTGAACACGGGGAATTCACATAAGCATGAAAATCCCAAAGACAGCGAGGCAATGTTAAGTATATAAGACATTTTTGGACAAAGTATGAAATGGGTGATGGGAAACTGGATTTCAGAAGTGAGAGTGGGTGATTTACAGGTGTTTGGGGAGAAGTGGAACACATGGCAGGGAAACATTTTTCTAGGCAACCCAGAAACAATGGGACACAAGGTGTGGGGTGTAACAAACTTGGAGTGTAAGTCAAGGCTCTCTTCCTAAAGCAGGATTTTCTATCTGAATCTCCTAAGAAAAAAGGGAACTAAAAAACTGTTTCTGAGCTTGTTGGACTTTAATTGATTTTAGTTCAAAATAATGTGCATGCCACGGTGGCACATTTTAGGGACACTTGGTCTAGACCCCCACATAAATGTGTACCTTATGAGCAACATGCAATGGGAACCTAAAATAAAACAATTGAAACTGGTCTTATAAGTTAGATGCTGAATGGAATTTGAGTGGTTGTGGCGATGGCATTAGTGATGAACAAATAAGCAAATCAAGTACAGTCCTTTCCCAATATCTTCATCTTTGGTGCTCAATCACTACTTTGTCTTTCTTTGTAAGAGTCATTGCAGTCTGCTTTGTAGTAGAATTGTTTATCACTTGCATAAGTTGTGAGCTTCTTGGGCAGAGAATATGGCCTATTCATTTTTATATTCTCTCTAGCCCCTATTGTGAGGGCTTGGCAATTTTTATTCAACTCATTCAATAAGTACTAGTCAAGTGTCTCCTATATGCCAAACACTGTGCTTCTTCTGGGGCTGTAGTAGTGAATGTAACAGACAAAAGTACCTACCATCATGGAGCAGATAATAAACAAATTACAAAAATATATAGTGTCATGTGGTGATAAGTGCTATGAAAGACAGGAAGGAGCATGAGAAGTGACTTTCTTTGCTTGTTTACAATGGGAAGTTGCAAAGGCCCTGAGATGGAAACATGCCTATTATTTTCAGAAACAGCAAGAATGTTAGTGCATCTAGAGTGAATGAGAAAGGGAAATTACCAGGGGATGCGTTTGGAAAGGTTAGTTCAGGTTAGGTTAGGTTGAGATGGTCATTTTAGCTTTTATTTTGAAGGAAACAGGACAACATGACTTCGATTTTTAAAGCTTCATTCTGTCTGTAGTGTGGGGGAATGTGCTAGAAGGGACTAATGGCATAAGCAGTAGATCAATTGGGAGGCTATTACACTAATCCAGGTAAGGGATGATGACTTGAACCAATGTCGTAGTAGAGCAGTGGACAGGTATCATTGGATTCTGGGTATATTTCACAGGTAGCTCCAATAGGCTTTGCTAATGGGTTGCATGTGGGATGTGAAAGAGAGGAATCCAGGATTACTTCACATTCTGTGGCCTGAACAAACAGAAGAATGGAGTTGCCATTTACCAAGATGGAGAAGACTGTGTGAGGAGTAAGTGTGGGGGTGGGTGGGAATCAGGAGCTCAGTTTTGAATATACTAAGTTTGAGATGCCTTTTAAATATCCAAGTGGTGATATTGAGATGATATCCACGTCTGTGGCTCATGGGTGAGATCTCTGCTGGGGCTATAAATTGGGGAGTTATTAGTGTTTAGACAAATATGGAGCCATGAATTAGCATGAGATTAGATTGCGGTTGAATCATCAGTATATATTCATTTATAGTACGTTATCTGTTTTTCCTCTAATTATGCTCATCTTTGATATTATTTCAAACCAAAGTAGGTTTCTCTGTAGACTATTTATAGAATCTGTAGTTTCAGGAGTTAGTTTCTGCTGTGTATGTGCCTAGATTAGTGCTAAGTGCTGTAGGGGGCGGGGGCATAAAGCAGTATGAGTCTCAAATTCTGCCTTCAAGGACCTTAATATTACGTTAGGGTAATAAGACTTTGACTTGTGAAACTTAGTTCCTACCACAAAGCATTATACCACTGAATGCAGAACAGTAAATCCATGAGCTTTATTGAGTGTTTTTGCCTGTATGTGTTTACTATACCTGCAATAGGAATTTCAAAAAGTGAGGTACTCTCCGTAATAGAGGTGCCACCACCTAGATGTCCATAGATTTCTTTGAAAAATACATCTGGTAAAAATCTGAAGAAGAAGAAAGGAGTCAATTTCACTGCAAACTAAAATAATGAAGTTATTTGTTTTCAAACTAGGGTGTTGTTTTCTTTTTGTTGTTGTTGTTTTAACATTGTATGAAAGGACCATGTTGCAAAATTGCAGCAGTGGATGAATATCATGGTCAAATAATGTAAAGAATGAAAAGTAGCTCATTTTTTTCCCCAGAGCTTTAAACTTTTCAGATGACTTTGACATCTCAGATGACATTTGATCTTCTTGACCCTCTTAGGTCTGAATAAGGCAGATAATGCCTCGACTTGTCCTCAGAGCCTCGGTGGCTCCTAGCCCAGCATTCTGTGGAGAACGGGGTTCTTTCAGTGATTTATCATGAAGTTTAAAATTTTTATTTCTAAACCCAATTTAGATCCTGCTGTTGCTATACCAGTATACTCACCAGCAGCATTGTTTTCATCCTCTTGCTGCTATGAAGAACAAGAATTTACCACCACCTAACTCATTAAAAATGCTCTGTAAGCCTGAGGCTCAAAAGCCACAATATGAGCACAAAGAGCTCAGTGCCCCTCAAGGACACTATTTCATGAGCTCCTCTCACTCAGAATCCTTCCCTTCCTCAGAGCCTCTGTCTTAAGTGCAATATTAAACCAGAGGCAAGAAGGTTTGTTTTTTTCCAGAAGGTAGATATCCTCCTGGGTTTCATTTCAAATATGGGATGTGCTGGGTTAATATTTGTATTCCTGGCCACTTTCAAATCTCAGAATGTATTTTAATCAAACTACTGACTTTAAAAACATGTACACACCATACAACAATGTTGTCTTTTATTTGCATTCCAATACAAATATTTTTGAAGTCGGTCTCTCTTTTACCTTTGAGTATTTTCTGTTATTGCAACCTCCAGCTTATTCCTAAATGCTTGACAATATATGCATATAACTCAGTGTTATTATTGCCTCCGGCTAGCTTCATGTCATCTAGTTTGTCTTTTGCTCCTCTCCTTTGATAGTATGATCAGGACCAATTGTGAATCTGCCAGATGCATTTTCTCACAAAAGGACAAATCTAAGACAGCTTGTGTTTTTCCCTCTGTCTTTCAGGGCTGCTCACATTAAAGGAGTTCCTCTTCCCTTTTTTATGAAACTGAGCTTGCTTAATCAGAGATGGAGCAAACAGACTGCAAACCCTACCAGCCTCTGTCTAAAGTCAAGCATGAAATGGATCTAGCTTATACCAGTTCTTCTGATGAGAGTGAAGATGGAAGAAAACCAAGACAGTCATACAACTCCAGAGAAACTCTGCATGAGTATAACCAAGAACTGAGGATGAATTACAATAGCCAGAATAGAAAGAGGAAAGAAGTAGAGAAATCTACTCAAGGTATGTTTTTATTGGATTTTTGTAACCAATATTATTTCTCACTGGGAGATGCTTGTATGTGCAAACTTATGTTTCAAAAACAAATTTGCTGATGTTAACTGGTTAATAATCCGCACTGCTTGCATATACTTAGTGAATCTTTTTCACGTGTCAGCCCAGCTGAGGTTGTAGGTCACATGTGCTTTTTACGGATTATGCATAAATTTGGATGCAACAATCCTCTTATCAGAGCATTCAAAATTTGTCTAATCCTACAAATAGCCATTTACAGACTGAAGGATAAATAATTTGTAGTAAGATGAAAAGTAAACGGCCAAGTGCTTTACAAGCCATTGGCTATATGGGACAAAGTTCTCAAACAGATATTTGGCTTCCAAAAGAGCTTCAGAAAGATTTGTGGAGACCACCAAACAGATGTGCATGCAGGAAGTCTTTCCACAGAGTGCTGAAAAGTTGTGCATCACAGTCTTTAAGGGAAAGTAAGACTTAGTTGGAATACTTCCTGCCACAGCCATATCCTTTGGATAGCCTTGGTTTGTCAATTATGGATTGACAAGAAAATTTCTAATAAATAGAAAACAGGTAGCTAGAAATATGAGTTCCTTATTTTTTTAAATGGCTAGATAAGTAGTTTTAGACATGCTTTTAACTACATAGGAAAAATATACTGACATTGGCATATGTTACCCTTTTTCTTTTAAAGAATAAGTCAATGCTAAGATGAAAAAAGAGATTTGATTATCTAGATCTGTCATTCTCAAAGCGTGTAACCTGGGCCAGCAGCAGCAGCATCACCCAAAACCTTGTTAGAAATGCAAATTCTCAGGTACCACCCCAGACCCTGTAAAATGTAGTAATTACAAATGAAAACTACTGTGTTCTAATGATTATTGGGATTTCATACTAGAGGAATTTTAAATTGAGTCAAAGATTTAAGGTATTCATGCTAATATTTAAGTATACATTAAATGTTTTTTTAATATTAACTATATTGCTCATTTTAAGTTCTTAACATAATTGGTAATAGTTTTATATCTGTTTTTTTCAAGTAATTCATTTTAATCTTTGCTATTGATTCAGCTACAGCCAGTGTAAATTTGTTACAAAATAATTGTATTCTTCTGCTTACATGGCAATTGGGAAATGTTTTCCTATGGGAATTTTTGGCTCTATTATGCTTTAAGAAATGTGTAGCTCCCATTAAAATATTTCCCTGTAAGTTTGTCTTTAAATAATATGAACTTACAGTTGTGAGTTTTAGGTTATGGGACTGGAGTACAGAGTGCTTGAACTAATATGTTTTAAGTTTAAATAAGAATATACTTCTAATGATATTTCTAAAAATATAAGCAAATTTTTACTGAGTCAGTATGAGTTAGCCAGCCTCAGATTTTGTTTTGTGCATTGTGATCAAAATGAATTTTGGGAAGAGAGAATTTTATCTTCTGTGATGCCATCCTAACTTCCTTTCAAATAACCTATTATTACTCAGTTAGCTTTTATTTGGCACTTGCTATGTGTCAGGCCTTGAGTCAGAAGCTGGTGATGGAGATGACCATGATAGTTGCTGCTTGAAACTCATAATATGGTGGAGAAAATAGACATCAAACAAATCATTGCAATTAAAAGTCCAGTGGAAGAACATAGGAATTGGGTTCTATAGATAGGTGATATTTGATCTAGATTTTAAAATGTGAAGAAGAGATTACTAGGAAAAGGACATTCTAAGAGGGTAGATTAGCAGGTGCAAAAACAAAGCTGTGAGAAGGCCTGGAATGGTGAACATTTCAATATGGCTAGAGTAAGGTACATTGGAGCCAGATCATGAAAATTCTTGCATGCCTAATTTAAGAGTTATTTTTTTCTTTAAGTATTAAAAAAACTTTTAAGTGATAGGGAATTTCTTGATGAATTCTAATTTTTAGGATGAGAAGTGTAGAAAAGAATTTTAGATGTGTAAGCAGTGGTGAAGATTGATTGCAATTGGGGAAAATGTGATGAAGGGAGACAATCTGTGAAGCTACTGAATCAGCCCAGGCTCAGAAGGTCTCAACTCTATCTGTATCAGTGGAGGTGGAAAAAATATTCAAGAGATATTAGTGTGGTGGCATTGATAGGACTTGGTAATTGATTACTTGCCAAGGTTGAAGGAGATAATAGAGAGAAGGATGACTCTAAATTTCAAGTTTGGGAAACTGGGAGGATGGCGATCCATTTACCAAGACAAGGAACATGGGGGAAGGAGTTTGAAGGGTAGAGAACAGGTTTTTTTTCTGGACATGTTAAGTTTAAAATGATTGGGTGACATCCAGATGGATTTTCCCAACAGGCAGTTAGAAATGTGTATCTAGAGTTCAGCAAAGATCTGGACTGTTGATATAAGTAGATTTGAGTTTATTAGTATCTGATAGTAGGAGATGCCCAAGGATGAATGAGATTACCCAGAGAAAATGTGTAGAGTGAGACTAGAAAAAAGGCATGGACAAAAGTATGAATCTATCAGTCATGTACTGATATAAACACGTTTTCAACCTATTTAAATTTTTAGCTAGCACCATTCTTTAGTGCACTGACATGTAATGTAAACTAAAGTATAAAGATCCAGAGGTCAAAGTCTAGAAACTGGGAATCTTATCTGCTAGTGATTTGCTGATTTTTTTTATAGAGACCTAAGAAGGAAATATGACCTCTATGTGAGAGAAGTGAATTATTCTACATCAAGTAAAACTTTGGGCCCTTTGATTCTCTTTTTTGTAAGGTCCTGAATCCTCTTTGATGTTTTATTCCACATATTTACTACCTGTGAGTAAAAGACAATGTCCTTAATTTTCACAAATATATGTCAGTGTTAACATCTTGAATCAGCCTAGCTAGAGTTGAGCCTGACTTAAAATATTGTTGAGTTTTAAGTCAGGAAGGAAGAGAACAAACATGTTGATTGGGCACCTACTGTAGTGCCAAACACTGTGCTAGATGCCTTTCAATCTTACTAGCTGTGCAGCCTGAATCAAGTTACTGCAGTTCTCTGGGCCTATATCTCATTTGCAAAATTGACATCGTCATCATCATCAATACCATAATCACAATAATAAGTAAGTAAGTAAATAAATAAATAAATAATAAATCTTGCATAGTACCTACTCTGTTCCAGGTCTCTGCTAGGTGTTTTACATTTGTTCTTCATAAACACCTTATGAGATATGGGATATTATCCCCAGTTTACAGATGAGGTAACTGAAGATTGGGGCGAAAGAACTTGCCAGAGTGTCTACAGCTAAGAAGTGGTGAGAATTGAGATTGAAGATAATTCTATGGCTCCAAAGTTCCCATACTTCGCTGTGCTACACTGCCTCCCATACCTACATTATGAGGTTGTAATAAGGCTTAATTGTGATCATAAGTGTGGAAGTGTTTAGGAACTCAATAAATGTTAGTTTCCCTTCATTTCCTTCCCCAACAACCTTGCCAGTCTCTGATGTTCCAATGACCAAGGGTTCACAAGGAGGTTTAAAAGCCTTTCCTTTCTGATTATCTTTATAAAAGGGCAGATGATATCCTATATAATTTATAATGAAAGATTCCTGAGTCTGGTTGTTAGTTTCCACTTTGGGGAAGAGTTACTGTGTCTAATTCAGGGCTTGTTTGGGGGCAATATTAACAAGAGAAAATTTTTGCTTGATTTCATCTGAAAGTATCTTTATATTCTTATCATTATTTGCCAAGAAAGAGGCACCCCCATGTATACACATAGTGTTGGATTTTAAAACTGATTTTCTTAATTTTCAAAAGCTTTCAAATTAATAGATGGACAGTAATCTAATATTCACAATTCTTTACTAACAGGATGAATGAGCCTTAGGCAAGCTTATTTCATATGATTTTTGGCAGGTGTCTAATAGCAGGGGTGGATTTCCTAGAGGCACACAGGCTAGCAATTGTTCCCAAGCAGCCTCACTTCCAAAGAAGGCATCAATTAACTAAGAAATTAGTGTAAGACAAATGAAAATATAAATATGTGGATATATAAACAAAGGATAACAATTTTAGCTATGAGAATTACCCTATCATTTTTATAACAGATAAGATTAGTTTTGAACATAGCCATTTTACTGAAAAGTAATTATGAATGAAAAGTCACCCATGCATAAAAAGATGTGTGGTGAGGATCTATTGCAGATCATAGACTCCTGAGATACTACAGCTGATACAAACATTTCATTTCATTTCTCCCTTCTTAAACTGCTCTTTTGTGCTTCTCTTTCTCCTAATAAGGGTTTTGTTTGGTTGGTTGGTTGTTTTTCATTATTACAACCTAAGCCTAAATCTCACATTATCGCCATCTGGTGGAAGAAATTTAAAATTGCCAATCTGTGTTTACCAAAATTACTTGGAAGGAAAGCTTATCCTGTCTTACATCCATCCATCTCTCCGTTTTTTTCATTTACTCATTTATGCATCAAATATTCATTTAATGTCATCCATCCTTTTTTCATTTTCTTATTTATGTATCAAACATTCATCTAGTGTCAACTATGTTCTAGATACTTTGCTAGGGGAATGAAATTCATCTTGAAATAGACACATGTGACCACTATTTCCCCCCTCGTTGCCCCAGGCTTCATTCCACAGGTGCTCATACAGCATTATCACTTGAAGGCTCAAGGAGTAGACAGAAGCCCACATTCAAAAAGTACATTTCTTGATTTTTATTTCAAACACTTAGTTGTAGTAGAAACTATTGTTTGCTTATATCTAAACAGTTTGAATAACTGTTCTTACAAAAATCTTGAAAAAAGAACTCTTATTCTCAAGGTCTGTTTATATTACACCTGCCATCTGTGGTAAAGATCACAGATGGCAGGTGTAATATAATGTACCATGGCCTTTAAAATGAAAATTTCAACAGTATTTGATCATCTGTGATGCATTTTCTGCTGTGAGCATGTTATACTTCCAGCATAAAGTTTCTAGCTTAAAAAGTTATAATGACTGCCTAGAAA